TTGACAAGTGAAGTTCTAAATATCGTGATGGGTTTGACAGGAACTATGAGTTTTCGGATTGTGTTTTCAAAGGACCATGTCATAAAAAAGAAGACTGCTACGAGAGATGTGGAGTGAACAAACCATCTTTCAAAAAATTTATGCTTACCTTAGACTAATACTCTTTAATGTTGTTGTATTTTATCATGATTTTGTTAGAATTTGTTTAATGTTGAAATGAAAATTTTTACTAATTAATAAAAAATACTTAATGAGTTAATTCAAAGAAATGCGACTCAGAATGGCAAAAAAAAAAGTTATATTTTTAATATAGAATATGCAAGGCTGTGGGAGTATATTTATTCGAAATAACAACATTCTTTAATCTTCATTTTCAAGAATAAACACATACATAACTTTGGGATGTGTTTTATGAATATAAAGCAACACATTAACGTTTCGTGTAAACATCTTTATAGTATACGTTAAACAGAAGATATTCAAAGGCTTTATCACAAGCTTCAAAAGCAAACCCGGCTCCACTATAAAAACGCCATTTGGGAGATGAAATCGTATAGAATCATCGTGTCATGTGATCTCAGGTAAGAATCATTTCCAGGTCCAAAATGACTACAATCTAACCAGCAGAAGCAACAACATCCTCAATTGTAAAATCAAATTGGCACAGTAACCAAACAATCCAATCCGAATTCTCCCAAAAAAAACAAGCACAGGAATTCTCCAAAATAAACATAGTAGATATACCTCGGGGTTTAACCAAAGACGAACCACAAACAAATCCAACCCAATTTCCACAAAGATTTGGATTCCCAACGAAACTATACGAAGAAAGAGAATCACTTTCACATCACAAGATTATGTGTATTGTTCAAATGACAGACTAGTGAGACTAGCTTGATACCTGGCTGGACCAAAACGTGAGAAGTTTTTCATCGCTGGTATTATCCCGGATAGATTGTTGAAGGAGACATTCCTTTAGAAGAGAAATGATGAATTGCGAAATCTGGTTGAATTTTTGGTGATTGTTTGCAGAATCTGGCAGAAAAAATTGTAAATTCAAATGGTAACAACTGAATGTTGCAGAATCTGGCAG